ATGTAACAAAAAAAAATCTACATTTGTAAATTGTACTTTCACGATAAAGAGATTGCACTAGAGTACTTGTATGAGATGAGTTGAAAAATACTGTTTCTTTTTGTCATGATATATAAAATTACAGCCTGTCTCAAATTTATTAATGAAAACAGCTTCCACTCTGCTTGTTTTCCAGCTTTGTCCCTCTTATTTACCAAAGATCACATTTTGCCTGGAACTCTATATGGCACACGCAGACACCTCGTGGTTGGATAACACAAATACAAGCACATATCACATACATGCCTGACATACATATATTAATAAATACATAAATACAAGCACATATCATTATATAAATGCCTGACCAACATGATTGCCTTCTATGATGAGATAGCTGGCTCTGTGGATATAGGGAAAGCGGTGGACGTCATATATCTTGACTTTAGCAAAGCTTTTGATATGGTCTCCCACAGTATTCTTGCCAGTAAGTTAAAGAAGTATGGATTGGATGAATGGACTATAAGGTGGATAGAAAGTTGGCTAGATCGTCGGGCTCAACGGGTAGTGATCAATGGCTCCATGTCTAGTTGGCAGCCAGTATCAAGTGGAGTGCCTCAGAGGTCGGTCCTTGGGCCGGTTTTGTTCAACATCTTCATTAATGATCTGGATGATGGGATGGATTGCACCCTCATCAAGTTTGCAGATAAGCTTGGGGGAGAGGTAGATACGCTGAAGGGTGGGGATAGGGTCCAGAGTGACCTAGAGAAATTGGAGGATTGGGCTAAAAGAAATCTGATGAGGTTCAACAAGGACAAGTTCAGAGTCCTGCACTTAGGACGGAAGAATCCCATGCACTGCTACAGGCTGGGGACCGACTGGCTAAGCAGCAGTTCTGCAGAAAAGGACCTGGGGATTACAGTGGACGAGAAGCTGGATTTGAGTCAACAGTGTGCCCTTGTTGTCAAGAAGGCTAACGGCATCTTGGGCTGCATCAGTAGGAGCATTGCCAGCAGATTGAGGGATGTGATTATTCCCCTCTATTTGGCACTGGTGAGGCCACAACTGGAGTATTGCATCCAGTGTTGGGCCCTCCACTACTGAAAGGATGTGAACAAATTGGCAAGAGTCCAGCAGAGGGCAACGAAAATGATTACCGAGCTGGGGCACATGACTTATGAGGAGAGGCTGAGGGAACTGGGATTATTTAGTCTGCAGAAGAGAAGAATGAGGGGGGATTTGATAGCAGCCTTCAACTACCTGACAGGGGGTTCCAAAGAGGATGGATCTAGGCTGTTCTCAGTGGTGGCAGATGACAGAACAAGGAGCAATAGTCTCAGGTTGCAGGCGGGGAGGTCTAGGTTGGATATTAGGAAACACTATTTCACTAGGAGGGTGGTGAAGCACTGGAATGGGTTACCGAGGGAGGTGGTGGAATCTCCTTCCTTAGGAGTTTAAGGTCAGGCTTGACAAAGCCCTGGCTGGGATGATTTAGTTGGTGTTGGTCCTGCTTTGAGCAGGGGGTTGGACTAGATGACCTCCTGTGGTCTCTTCCATCCCTAATCTTCTATGATTCTATACAACACTATGGGTACATCTACAGTACAGGGGGGAGTCGATTTAAGATACGCAAATTCAGCTACGTGAATAGCGTAGCTGAATTCGACGTATCACAGCCGACTTACCCCGTTGTGAGGACGGCGGCAAAATCGACTTCTGCGGCTTTTTGTCGGCGGCGCTTACTACCACCTCCCCTGGTGGAGTTAGAGCGCCGATTCGGGGATCGATTGTCGCGTCCCGACGGGACGCGATAAATCGATCCCCGAGAGGTCGATTTCTACCCGCCGATTCAGGCGGGTAGTATAGACCAGACCTATGCTATTTTTGGAGGATATATATGAGCCTGATCGGCCACAAATGGAGTTGCACCTATTTTGTTTTAGATACTATTCTGCAATTGTAAAGAAAATGGAACTGATAAAGATGTATAATTTGACTGATTGCTTCACATAGAGAAGTGAATTGAAATTGGTGTATCTTACACTTTCTTCTGATGCCCTCAGCGTGTAAATTGCAATCCCTTAGATTAACACCCTGCTGTACACGGGGACAACCAGGAAAATTTATCCAAATTAACTAAAGGTCTGACTGTAAAGTAGATTAGTTCAACTGCATAAAGCCCTTGTGTAGATGCTCTTATTCAGAAATAAAGTTGCCTTAATTTAATTTAGATTCTTATTCTTAATTGAATTAAGGCCACTTTCATTCTGAATAAGAGTGTCCAGACAAGGATTTAATGCAATTTAACTAATCCTCTTTAAAAGTTAATTTGGATTAATTTTTTCCTGAGGCAAGTGTTTCTGTGTACACAAATTCTAATTTATACATCATCTCTGAATTTGACTCATGGAGTCTTATACTCTCTGGTTTTTGCTTTCCTGCTCTGCCCCTCAGTCCTTGCCTCTCAGCGTATCAGTTACATCAGCTCAAACTCCCAGAGGGACCAGATTCAGAGGTGACAGGAAGTGGGGTGCAAGGTTCATGTCAGTTAGTGGGAGAAATATAACTTACATGCTGAATGGGTCAGAGAAGGTTTATGTTACATTAGCTTTGACTCCCTTAGATAAACGTAGACTGGCCTCTCTATGAGGCCCTTTATGGGGGCTCTGTACCGTGTAAACTCATGCACACCTAGGCAGGGTGGAGGCAGAGAGTGGGATCCAGAGTGGCTGGGAACAGCCCCGGGAGCAGGTAGGAACCCCCGGGACCCTTCTTGGCAGCCTGGAGCTGACTGCCCTCCCCGTGCTGAGTCTCAGTATCTCCCTTCGCTCCCCCTCCTATCCCTCTTGCCCTCCCGCCCCATTTGCAGGAAGCTTCCACACACCCCTCCACTCCCTGACAGTGACTGGTGGGTTACTGGCAGAGCTGCTTTTAGAAGGTGCACTGTGCAGCAGGCAGGAGGAAGTGTTGCATGTTGGGAGACAGGCTCTCACCTTCTTTCCCTGCCACAGCAGGCGGGTGTGTACTTTAGCCTTTCCTCCCCGAAGGGGATGCTGTTTTATGCCTTCTTTGCCGAGACGCAAGGCATGTGGGTAGAATCACCTCGTTTCCAAAAGTATATTCCACACGCCTCTGAAGTTTACAGCCTGGAGGCTCCCCGCCTCCAAAGCACAAATCCAGGATGGTTTAGGGCCTAATCTCTGTGGGCCTCCAGCCCCAAGAGGGTTAAATGGGCTCTGATGTTCCACCCAGTAGAGAGAAAGTGCTGATGTGCATGCATTAGCCATTCTAGCAGGGTTACAAGGCCACCGAGCTCCTTACAGCGGCGGCTCCAGGCACCTGTGCTCCAAGCGCGTGCCTGGGGTGGGAAGCCGCGGGGGGCACCCTGCTGGTCCCTGTGAGGGTGGCCGTCAGGCAGCCTTCGGTGACATGCCTGCGGGAGGTCCGCCGGTCCCGCGGCTTCGGCGGCAATTTGGCGGCGGGTACGCCGAAGCCGCGGGATTGGCGGACCTCCCGCAGGCATGCCGCCGAAGGCAGCCTGCCTGCCGTGCTTGGGGTGGCAAAAAAGCTAGAGCTGCCCCAGGCTCCATACAATTGCTCTTATCAGAACCTGTTCCTACAGCCTTCACCCCAGGTGTCAATTTATCTCTCCCCAGTTGTGTGTCAGAATATTAGGAAGTGTTAGGGATGCACTTTCAAAGCATTGTCTGCTGATTTAGCTACATAGCTGCTGTTAATATTCAACGGAATCGGTATGAATGAATCCCTTCGTTTTGTCTGTAAAATGTATCCCCTTAATGCCCTGTATCAGCTTCAGCACTTCTGTTCTAACCTGTTTTCTACCTAAATAGGAACAATGTGGCCCAATGGCCAAGGCAGTGATGGAGGAGTTAGGTGACTTGGGTTCTAGTCCGACTTCTGATCTTGTCAGTGAGGAAGGATGGTCCAGTTGTTAGAGTGCTAGCCTATGACATGGGAGACCTGTGTGCAATTCCCTGTTCCACCACAGTCACATCACCTCTCTATCTCTGTTTCCCCACCTATAATATGTGGATAATAATCCTTACCCCTCCCCCCCTTCTTCATAAAGTGATCTGAGTGCCTCATACAAAAAAACCTGCAGGAAGAGTTGTTATGCCCTCCTTGAGAGGCCATGACCCGGCACAGCGTGGACTTTTACAAAACCTGTTTATGTCATCTTGTCCGGCTTCAGCTGCCCGGACAGACTTGTATTTATTAGGCCAAGTTTCTAAAGCACACAGAGGAAGCTTTTCCAGATCTGCGTTGCTGCATAAGATCATCCCGGCCCATTGTTCTGACTAGGTCATCTGCTCGGAGTCCCACCAGTGGCTGCCTCTTCCCCGCCAGGCAAGCCACATGCTCACTGGCATTATCGTAAAGACCATTAATAATTTAGTCCTGCCCTACCTGTCGGATTGATTAGCGTGGAGTTGACTCCAGTGTTTGCTCCACTAGTAGTGCCAACCTGTGTCACCCATTGGTCCATGTCTCCTTCCAAGCACTTTGGTGCTTTCTCCTACACCGACCCTTGTGTGTGGAACAAACTCCCTGAAAAGAATCTACAAAGCCACTACTCTGTCCCTCTTCAGCACCCTCCCGTAGGCTCACCCTCTGCTGGGATGCCTACAGAACATTGCTGGGTGATAACGGTGCAACCCATGGCAGCTCAATAGTGGACTTAGGACAAGGTAACAGTAATAGGGGAATGTGAGCTATCTCTCCCAGATCCCCACTTGTTTAGTGATTTTTATTCACCTGTTGTGTCCTGTCACTAACAGGGAATGGAAGTTCTGCAAGGCCAGGACTGCCTGTTTATTGCATGTTTGTACAGCGCCCAGGATAACGGGGCGTGATCCCTGATTAGGGCCTCTAGACACCATTACAGTGCAAATAATAACAACAATAATAATGAATGACCCATATACTTTTCTATTTACTTACTTGCACGTTAGGTGCCCCAATGAGGTCATAAGTTCTTGTTCCTTTGTCTCATTTCTAAGAGCCCACCATACCGTTCAAGACAAAACTGAAGGATGTTGAAGTTCAGGAGAAAGAATCTGCCACCTTCCAGTGTGAGGTGCCCGTCCCTAGCACTGAAACTGCCTGGTTCAAGGAGGAGACCAAACTCCAACAGAGCAAGAAGTACAACATCGAAGAAGAGGGGACGTACCGCCGGCTCACCGTCCAGAACGTCACCACGGACGATGACGCCGTCTACATCTGTGAAATGAAGGAGGGGAGCAGGACCATCGCGGAACTGACTGTCCAGGGTAAGAGAGAATCCACTGCAATAGGTTTCTCCTTCCCTTTTTGTGCCCTCCCTCTCCCCCGCCCCCTAAAGGTTTTTGTTTGTGTGGGCTAAAGTAAATCCTGCCTGACAACGCTGATGATTTCATCTGGAGTTGAAACGAGCGTTTGCATTTTATGCTCTGGTGCGTGGTGCACAGTGTATTGGGAACGTGATTTCAAAAGGCCTGCAGCGTTACTAGCACAGTGGAATGATCCCATTGAGGGGTTGTTAACAGGGATTGAACCTGGAAATCCCAATCTGTAAGCATGAGTCTGTACCACTTAGGGGAAAGGATTTGCGGCCAGCTTTTTAAAGGTAGTTAGATGCCTAAAGATGCAAATAGGCACCTACTGGGGTTGTCAAAAGCTCTTAAGAGTCTGTCTCCCATTGACCAAAATCTTCCCCAAATCCTTTAGCTGTAAGCAGTAGCAAACTCAGAAACGTTCTATGTGGACCAGCCACTGGAGGGACATAACGCCACGCTGTCCTATTGCAGGTTACAAGAGCACAGCACTACTTTGAGAGTAGGGCCAAGAGTCAATCGTTGGTGACTGATGGGGAAAGTAAACATTTTGGTAGGGTTGACAGAAAAAGTGAGTTCGTTTTCACTCTATACTTTTTGCAAAAAAACAAAAGGCCATTTTCTGAGGCAGGAAAGTGTCATTTCGCCACTAAAAGCGATGATTTTGCTAAGAGAATGTAAAAAAAAAAAAAAAAAAATCTCAATGAACATGTTTTCAAGAGGTTGTGATGAAAATTCACGAAAGGCAGCACGAGGTGATGAGAACAGGGAACTTCAGTCCTAGAACAAATCTGTGACCACATCACTACTTCACAGGTGGATATTTGAGTTGCTCACATTAATGACTGTACCCATCACACTTCTCTAAGGCCTGGTCTACACTAACCCCCCAAGTCGAAGTAAGGTACGCAACGTAGCTGAAGTCGACATACCTTACTTCGAACTTACCGCGGTTCAGACGCGGTCCACACGGGGCAGGCAGGCTCCCCCGTCGACTCCGCGGTACTCCTCTCGTTGAGATGGAGTACCGCAGTCGACGGCGAGCACTTCCTGGTTCGATTTATCGCGTCCAGACCAGACGCGATAAATCGAACCAGGAAGTTCGATTTCCAGCCGCCGAACTAGCGGCTAAGTATAGACCAGCCCTAAGAGCGAAATTCACCTGGGCGGGGAGCAACCCAGGGGCTAGGCACTACTTAAGTCCTGCTTCAGCACCACTGTTAGGTCTTAAGTGGTGTCAGTCTTGCGCTGGCCGCGTGCACGGGGTGAATTTCACTCCCATCACCTGCGCAATAGACTGGGAGCCAAGAACTCCTACACTGTAAACCCAGGTCTGCCTCTGACTTCCTCTACAGACTTAGGCAAATAGCATTCCTGGACTCAGTTTCCCCATCTGCACTATGGGGCGGGGTTTTCAAAAGCACTGACGTTTTGATGCTAATCATACTTCCCTATAGAGCTTTAGCTCCTTATAATTACTAACAATATAGGGAGCATTTTGTTTAAAAAGGAAAATGTATCACTAAAGTTACCATTAAATATGGGCCTCAGCTGCAGAGTTCAGATATTGAGCCAGATCCAAACTTTCCTGAGTTTACGGCTGTTCTTCATCAGGGGTTTGGTTTGCCCCATAATATGGTTTAGGCTCCAGTGGCAAAATCTGGATGTATCCAAATCCAGATGCCAATTTTCCCAAAGTTTGGGAGCTTAGGGTTGATGTGTATTGAGATCTAGGGTTTGGGCCAGTGTAGGTTTCTCAAAAACACAGAGACATGTTTGCAGAAGTGTCTGTTAATTTTAAGTTTTTTGATTCACCTACATGAAATCTAAGTCCGATAGCTGTGATCCTGATTCTGATGTTGATTCTACTTATGTAAATTATAATGATCTCCATTGAAACTAACGGAGATACACTCTTATAAAAGCTAAAGAACTGAATTTGGCCCTTTTCATTTCCGGTCTGACTGTACTCTAATCAAAGGCCATGGAGGAATCCCACTGTAAAACCTGGTGGCCCCTGCCAGATCTGTATATACAAATGCAGGTTTTACACCTGCAAACAAATGGAGAGGTGCAAGCATTATGGGAAATTTGACCCAAAGAGATGCAGGAGTTGATGAAGGAAATTACAACCCACTCTTGGGAATGTATTATGGATTCCTTGATTAATTGTGAAATTATAAAATTTAGAGACGAAAACTGTTATGCACACAAAGAAGTTAGATAAAAAACGTAAATAAACTGGCATGCACACAAAGAAGTTAGATAAAAAACATAAATACTCTTGTTGAAAGGTTGCAATGTTACAATGCTTTATTTCTCAGAATTCAGAATAACACCCCAAAACAGAGAGCGACAAAGCAGGCTGCTCCCTAAAAGAGAGAGGCACAACTCACCCCACTTTACCCTAGGGTGGGTGGCTGCAGACTCACTCAGATGACCCATGTCACATGGCTTCCCTCAGAGCCCCCTCACTTGCAAGCAGGACCAGGAAATCCTCACACTTAAAAATCTCTTGTTATTTTTAACACAGATTCCAATACACCACAAAAATGATGTTGTGGAGCATCTGATCCATCTTTCTGTAGTATTCATTGCTCCATGTGGGGTGGTGGTGATGGTGGCAAACAAGACAAAGAGGAGAACTCTATTAATACTGAGGAGTCCGGTGGCACCTTCAAGACTAACTGATTTATTTGGGCATAAGCTTTTGTGGGTAAAAAACCTCACTTTTTTCCGATGCCCCTATTAATACCCCTCCTCTCCTCTTCTGAAAAAAAAATCCATCCATGACTTGAATATTGTTACAGCTATTCATATTTGCAGCTTTGCAAACAAAAGTAACTTGAGCTCACACTGCAGGATGTAAGCTGATCTCATGTGGGAGTCAGAAACGATAATTTCCCTCCATGTCATAGCAGTACACACCCAGCTAAATGCATCCCATACTGGTCAATCCCAGAGATGGGATATTGAATACTAGCAATAGAGTACTTGTCTGATCTGCCATGGTTATGGATACAATTTTGTCAAGATAAAATTATACGTAATGCGTACAGTCACAATAAATAAAAATAAATAATTTCAAACTATGGTCATGGTAACTTTATGGACCCTGTTGATGAGCACAAACAGTTCATTAGCTCACTTTGGTCAGGTCCTCTTTGAAACAGGACTATCTGAAGCCTGTCTCCCAAGCAAAGAGGAAAAAATTCAGAGGGAAGGGTTGTAGACCAAAGTGGATGAACAAGGATCTCAAACAGGTTATTAGGAGAAAGCAGAAAGCCTAAAAGGAATGGAGGAAGGATGGATCAGCAAGGAATGCTACTTTTTGGAGGTCAGAAAGTGTAGGGGGAAAAATGAGAACTGTCAAAAGCCAAGCAGAGTTGGACATGGCAAAGGAAATTAAAACCAATAGTAAAAGGTTTTTTCAACCATATAAATAAAAGGAAAACAAGGAAGGAAGAAGTGGGACTGCTAAACACTGAGGATGATGTGGAGATTAAAGATAATCTAGGTGGGGCCCAACACCTACACTAATATTTTGCCTCAGTTTTTAATAAGGGTAATGAGGAGCTTGGGACAATGGCAGGGTGGCTATTGGAACAAGAATATGGAAGGAGGTGGAAGCCAAACTCAAAACAGTTTAATGGGACCAAATTGGAGGGCCCAGATAATCTCCCTCCAAGAATACTAAAGGAAGTGGCACATGAAATTGCAAGCCCAATAGTAAGAATTTTTAATGAATCCATAAATTTGGGGGGGGTCTACCCTGTGACTGGAGAATTGTGAACGTAGTACCTATATTTAAGAAAAGGGGGGGGAAAAGGCGATCCATGAAACTATGGGCAAGGTAGTTTGACCTCAATTGTATGCAAGGTCTCGAGAACAAATTTGGAAAGAAAAAGCAGTTAAAGACATAGAGGTAAACAAGTAATTGGGATAAAATACAGCATGGTTTACTAAAGATAGATCATGCTAGACAGACCGGATCTCTTTCTTTGAGAAGATAACTGGTTTTTCTAAACAAAGGAAATGCAGTAGATCTAATCTACCTGGCTTTCAGTAAGGCATTTGATACAGTTCCACATGGGAAATTATTAGTTACATTGGAGAAGATGGGGCTTTAATATGAGATTCGAAAGGTGTGAAAGGAACTGGTTAAAGGGGAGACTATAATGGGTCATGCTGAAAGCTGAACCGTCAGGCTGGAGGTCCTCAAGGATTGGTCTTGGGACGAATTGTATTTAATATTTTCACTAATGACCTTGACACAACATGCAGGCATGTGCTAATAAAATTTGCAGATGACACAAAGTTGGGAGGTATTGCCAATACGGAGGAGGATTAGAATATCATGCAAAAAGATATGGATAACCTTGAAAACTGAAGTAATAGAAATGGGATGAAATTTAATAGTGCAAAGTGCAAGATCATGCACTTACGGATTAACAACAATAATTTTTGTTGTAAGCTGGGAAAGTATCAGTTGGAAATGGCAGAGGAGGAGGAAGACCTGGCTGTGTTGGTCGATCACTGGATGACTGAGCTGCCAATGTGATGCGGCTGTGAAAAATGCAAATGCAATCTTGGGATAGCTCAGGCAAGGTATTTCCAGTTGAGATAGGCAAGTGTTATTACCATTATACAAGACACTGATGAGACCTTATCGGGAATACTGTGTGCAATTCTGGTCTCCCATTGTTTAAGAAAGATGAATTCAAACTGGACCAGGTGCAGAGAAGGGCTATTAGGATGGTCGGAGGAATGGAGAACCTACCTTATGAGAAGAGACTTAAGGAGCTTGGCTTGGTTAGCCTAACCAAACAAAGGCCGAGGGGAGATATGATTGCTCTCTATAAATATCTCAGAGGGATAAATACCAGGGAGGGAGAGAAGTTATTTAAGTTGAGCCAATGCTGACACAAGAACAAATTGATATAAACTGCCATCAATCAATCTAGGCTTGAAATTAGATGAAGGTTTCTAACCATCAGAGGAGTGAAGTTCTGGAACAGCCTTCCCAGGGGAGAAGTGGGAGCAAAAAACCTAACTTGTTTTAAGATTGAGCTTGATAAGTTTATGGAGGGGATGGTATGATGAGACTGTCTACAATGGCATAAGGCCCATCCACAACTGCTGTTAGCAAATATCCCCAACGGCTGGTGATGGGACACTAGATGGGGAGGGCTCTGAGTTACTACAGAGAATTCTTTCCCAGGTGTTTGGGTGGTGGATCTTACCCACATGCTCAGGGTCTAACTGATCACCATATTTGGGGCTGGGAAGGAATTTAGAGTCAGATTGGCAGAAACCCTGGTTTTTTTCACCTTCTTCTGCTACGTGGAGCACGGGTCATTTGCTGGTTTGAACTAGAGCAAATGGTGGATTCTCTGTAACTTAATTCTTTAAATCAAGATCTGAGGACTTCACTAACTAAGCCATAGGTTATGGACCTACTACAGGAATGGGTGGGTGAGGTTCTGTGGTCTACAATGCACAGGATGTCAGACTAGATGATCATGATGGTCCCTTCTGCCCTTGTAGTCTATGAGTGGGACTGGATCAAAGCAACTAATACACTGTTAATGCACAACAGCTGATTGAAGTGAACTAACAAACTGTTAATGTGGGATAGCAGGATCCATATAAATGGCAAAATTCACAGTTCCGTGATTGTGGTGACCTTTCATGGTTGAGTTGAAATAAAGGGCAATATTCACGGGTTCCATGACAGTGTGCACCAGGACATACTCATATCCTTAGCCATAGTGAACCCTACCTCCCCTGGCAATTCAGGATTGTTACCTATAGGAAATCCCCTAGTGCCATCCTGAATTAGAATCGCTCCAGCCATGGGGGTTCTGATGCTTTCTTTTAGAGATGGTTCCAGGTCTAAGATGATCTTATTCATAAGACTGTTTTCCTGATGTCCCACCCAAATTTACCTGGGATCAGTTTCATCCATAACTTTCAGTTTTTCCTTGCAAGTCATGAACATTTCGAAGTTACAGGAAAGTAAAAGACCAGGAATAAGTGAGTTTGACCCAATGTAAATTGCTTGGTCTGTTCTGATAATATCTGAGGTTCTTAAAGTTATTTCCTGTTAGATCAGGTGAGTGGCATATACAGGCCATCAATTATGCCAGGCATTAGACAAATTTAGTGGAGAACTGTAGAGATCTATCTGCTTTCTAAGGGCACGTCTTCACTACCCGCCGATCCGGCGGGTAGCAATCGGTCTATCGGGGATCGACTTACCGCGTCTAGTGAAGACCCGATAAAATCGATCCCTGATGGCTCTACCGTCGACTCCGGAAATCCACCGCGGCAAGAGGCGGTAGCGGAGTCGACGGCGGCGCGGCAGCGGTCGACTTGCCGCCGTCCTCACAGCCAGGTAAGTCGACCTAAAATACGCCACTTCAGCTACGCTATTCACGTAGCTGAAGCTGCGTATTTTAGGTCGACCCCCCGCTGTAGTGTAGACCTAGCCTAAGACACAAGCTTCCTTTGTGGACTCATAGCAGTTGCAGATCATCAGATCCATCCTTTGCAAGGGCAACCTATACTATCTATTGCCCCAATAGAAGACATATCAAATATTAACCGGAGAGGGAGATTTTCACCTTTTCATAGCTTTGTAGATTTTAAGGATAGGAGACACCATTACACCGGGTGGTGGTGGTGGGGGAGGAAAAGAGCTATTTAACCTAAAGGACAATGTTGGCACAAGAACAAATGGGAATAAATTGGCCATTACTACATTTAGGCTGGAAATTAGAACCATCAGAGGTCTGAGGTTTTGCAACAGCCTCACAATAGGAGGAGTGGGGGCAAACCAGCTAACTAATTTTAAGATGGAGCTTGGTAAATTTTATCAGTGGGATTATAGGATAGGGTTGCCTGCAATAACAGGGGAGTGGAATTGATGACCTAGGAAGTCCCTTTCGAGCCTATGTTCCTGTCTAGACTGACCTCCTGCATAACACGGGCCATAGAACCTCACTCAATTATTCCTATATAACAAACCCGTATGTTGTGATTGAGTTAGAGCTTTTGGCACTGTTTTGATCTAGCTGATCTGGGTACCGCAGTTTTCTGCGTCTGCTGTATTATGACTGTAGGAGTTTTCTTTCATACAGGGAACATCATTAAAAAACTGCCACGGAAGACTGCGGTCCCCATAAACGACACAGCCATATTCTGCGTGGAGCTGGACAATGAGTGCCAGAACATCCGCTGGCTGAAGAATATGGAAGAAATGAAGCCCAATGACCGAATCACCATCACCTCATCCGGCAAGCAACATACGCTGATTATCCGGGAGTGCAAGATGGAAGACGCTGGGGAGATCGCATTCCTGGCTGATGAGTGCCGAACATCTACCCAGTTCACTGTGTCCAGTAAGCTTTCCTTTATTCTATATTACAGCGAGCGTCAGAATATAAGAATGGTCATACTGGGTCAGACCAATGGTCCAATCTAGCTCAGAAGCCTCTCTGACAGTGGCCAATGTCAGATACTTCAGAGGGAGTGAACAGAACAGGGCGATGATTGAGTGATCCATCCCCTGTCATCCAGTCCCAGCTTCTGGCAGTCAGAGCCTTAGGGACACCCAGAGCATGGGGTTGCATCCCTGACTGTCTTGACTAATACCCATTGATGGACCTGTCCTCTATCAACTTATCTAATTCTTTTTGCACCCAGTTATACTTTTGGCCTTCGGGTTTAGTGTGTGTTGTGTGAAGAAGTACTTCCGATTGTTTTTTTTTAAACCTGCTCCCTGCTAATTTCATTGTGTTACCCCTGGTTCTTGTGTTTTGTGAAGGGGTAAATAACTCCTCTTTATTCACATTCTCCTTACGATTCAATAATTGTATCGACCTCTGTCATATCCCCCCTTAGTCGTCTCTTTTCCAAGATGAACTGTCCCAGTCTTTTTAATCTTTTGTCATACCCCTAATCATTATTGTTGCCCTTCTCTGTACCTTTTCCAATTCTAATAGATCTTGTTTGAGATGGGGCGACCAGATCTGGACACAATATTCAAGGTGTGGGCGTACCATGGATTTATATAGTAGAATTACAATATTTACTGCTTTATTATCTATCACTTTCCTAGTGGTTCCTAACATTCTGTTAAGTTTTTTTGACTGCTGCTGCACATTAAGCGGATGTTTTTCAAAGAATTACCCACTCACAAAGATCAAGAATACACTCTCAGTATAATTATTTCCTGCTAGTGCCATGGTAAGCTAGATGCTATACAAAGACAATAGAAGGTCCCATGCCTGTTCCAAAGAGTTTATACCATAAATGTGAACTTTGTTAAATTATGATAATATCAAAATTAGAGAGAACCAAAGTTCCAGGGTGAGAGTGCAGTATATGTGTGTATCTCTGCTGTAACAGTCTGCATTGAGCACAAAATGGCTGTGTGGTGGGGCGGCTGCCCCACACAGGCAGGAGAAGGGTTAAGGCCTTGGAGAGGCTGCACAGAAACCAGCCAATCAGGAAAGGGTTTATTGGGAGAGCCAGTCAGGAGAAGGCTTGCTGGAGCAGCCCATATATAAAGGGCTACTCAGCAGAGCAAGGGGCAGTCTCTTCTTGGAGGGAAAGGGGAAGGACTGTCTGCCAAGGAGCACCGGAGATACTGCAGTGCTGGGCAGGGTAGCAGAGTAATAGGGGAGCTCTTGACTGACCATGGCCAGACTGAGGCCCTGATGTAAGGGCGGAGAAGGTGCTAGGGCTACGGAGGAAGTGGCTCAGGGAAAGTGGGCAGCGGGAATAGGAGGAGGGGCAGTAAGTGGCTGCCAGCTGCAGGATCCTTGGGCCGGGGGCCGGGGTGGGGGGCGGGCCGGGGACCCCCCCCCCCCCCCCCCGTTTGCCCCTACGTGCCAATGAGGAGAGGGACCTAAATCCAGACTGCAGTTTGTCCCTGAAGCCAGGGGCTAGACTAGGGTTACCATATCTGAACTTTGAAAAAAGAGGACACTGGGAGGGGGGGGGGGTGGTAGCCCCGCCCCCTAGCCACTCCCTCCCACTTCCCACCCCCTGACAGCCCCCCCAGAACCCCCGATCCATCTAACCCCCCCTGCTCCCTGTCCCTGACTGTCCCAACCCCTCTCCACACCCCTGCCCCCCTGACAGCCCCCCCAGAACTCCCAACCCATCTAACCCCTCCTCCCTGTCCCCTGTCCTCTGACTGCCCCCCTTCTCCAACTCCCCGGCCCCCTTACCGTGCCGCTCAGCTTAGAGGAGGTGTCTGGCTCCGCGCCCCAAGGAGCGCCCCACCCCGGCCAAGCGCTGCCGAGCGGGGTGCTGAAGCTGTGGAGGAGGGGGGGAAGCAGAGGAGGGGCTCTGGCCGCCGCTGCCAGTCCCGCTGCCGTGTTCCCTCACAGGCGCACAGCCCCGCCCGCCCAGCGCTGCCGGGCGGTGTGCTAAGGCTGCAGGGGATGGCGGGGGGAGCCGGGAAGGGGCTTTGGCTGCCGAGGCCCCAATGCGAGCGGCGCTCGGCCGCCCTGTCAGCCGCTTTTCGGTCGATAAATAGCCGACCGGGGGGAAATCCCGGACATTTTTAGATTTTTAGAAATCCCCCCCCGGACGGCTATTTAAAGAGTGAAAAGCTGGACATGTCCGGGGAAACCCGGACGTATGGTAGCCCTAGGCTAGACTAGAGACTGCAGTTGGCCGCTGAGGCAAGTGGAGGGACTGAGGACCGCCTGTTCCCCAAAATGAGGGAGACAGTGGGCTGGGGCAAAGCAGGAGGGCCATGTCCTGAAGAGGACACTGCGGTCCAGGAGCGACACCTGGGTCCAGGTGGTGGAGACGGTGGAGGAAGTGGAAGTAATGGCGAGCGAGACACCGCTAGTAAAGGGCGTCCTGGTGGTCCAAGAGAGCTATTTCCCAGCACGACCAGCAGGAGGCGCTGCGGCCGTGGGTCTGCACCGCTACAGGCAGTGATTCAGAACTAGGGCAGGGGACTTCTCTCCATTTAAAGATCCAGTACACAGATAGCAATTCACACAGGCAACCTACAGTGCCTTTGTTTGTGTTCATTGTTTACAGAGCGCTGTAAATGTGCCAAGTGCTTTAAAAACTCTATTCCCCAAATGCTTAGGTGGTTCTCTGAGTGGTGTCTGCCCTGTGGGACTGACACCTCCTGGCTACTGAATCTTCTAGAGGTCAGTGCCCATTGGGGTTGCTTGTTCCTCTGTCCTTCTCCCCTGCAGAGAAGGTATAAAAGGAATGGGGGGGAGGGGAGTGGCCTGGAGCCTCTAAAGAAGTGGGGAAGGTGGGCAGGGAGTGTGAATATGCAAAGGTGATGCTCTCTGAGAACAGCTCCAGGTGAGTAGAGCTGGGCGGAGAATGTTTCCTGGGGGAGTTCAAGATTTCAAAATTAGTTTTTGTTCCAATTTGGAATAAAACCTGAAAATTTGAGGTTGGTTTTAAAGAGGGATTTGGAGGGGAAAAGGGATGGTGCTTTGTTCTTTCCAAGCAGTTAGCCCTACCTTATCATCTCCACTTACACACAATTCTCTACAGAGAAGTATTAAAAAAGTTGGGAAGTTCAGACTCTAGTTGTGGAATTAGACAGTCACCCATTCCCATTATCACTGATGGCATGTCATTCATTAAACACCCAAGCAGAGCTGCTGGAACAATTTGTTTAGTCGGACTGCTGAGAGCCATTGAACCAAACAGGATCAGTCCCATCATTAGCACTGTAACAGTTACTGAGCTGTTTATCAGTATCTGGCAAAGCACGCAATATCACATGACCTGCAAGCAAAATCTTATTGTAATGATTGACTCCGGTGTTCACATTATTAAATTGTAGCTGCTTAACCATGGAGATGAAAACTTTTAAGAAGCTGCCCTCCCACAAGCATATCTCTCGCTATTAAATATTAAGTTAAATATATAACAGTAAGGCCCAACAATCTGATTTCAGTAGCTAGATGTTCTTCTGAACCCAAGATGAATGTTAAAGTAGTAGGAACTTTGACCTAGGTGGTTTGATCGTCAATAACCCAATGGGTAGTGTGACAGTGTATCATATAACACTGGAATATATATTTATGTAACTAAGGAAGAAGAGTGGATCATGCCAAGGTTTCCTATTTTTACACTTCATGTGCTACCATGCTTAAGTGTTCCGTTAGAAAAGTGCCATGTTAGCTACTTGAAAATCCCATGGACTGTGTTCACATCTTTTTCACTGAGCCATACTGGGGTAGTGTTGGCTGGTTTATTAGCTGTGACAGACCCAGACCAGTGGGGTACAGGAGTCTGGTAGAGGGCAAATATACTGGTCACTGGATGAGTAGTTTTCTGTTCCCTGAGTGAGCAGAGCAGGGGCTGCACTAGAGTAATCAGGAACCTGCTAGAACCAGTTAAGGCAGGCAGGCTAATTAGGACACCTGGAGCCAATTAAGAAGAAGCTGCTAGAATCAATTAAGGCAGGCTAATCAGGGCACCTGGGTTTTAAAAGGAGCTCACTTCAGTTTGTGGTGGGAGTGTGAGGAGCTGGGAGCAAGAGGCGCAAGGAGCTGAGAGTGAGAGGGTGTGCTGCTGGAGGACTGAGGAGCACAAGCATTATCAGACACCAGGAGGAAGGTCCGGTGGTGAGAATAAGGAAGGTGTTTGGAGGAGGCCATGGGGAAGTAGCCCAGGGAGTTGTAGCTGTCATGCAGCTGTTACAGGAGGCACTATAGACAGCTGCAGTCCACAGGGCCCTGGGCTGGAACCCGGAGTAGAGGGCGGGCCCGGGTTCCCCCCAAACCTCCCAATTGACCTGGACTGTGGGTTCTCCCAGAGGGGAAGGTCTCTGGGCTGTTCCCCAACCCACATGGTGAATCTCTGAGGCAAGAAAATCTGCCAATAAGCGCAGGACCCACCAAGATAGAGGAGGAACTTTGTCACACTGGTGTCAGGAGTGGGATCTTGGGGTGCACAGCGCGGCGGAAGAAGGAGGGTGATTTAAACAAAAAACAAACAAAAAAGGGAGAGGGTTTATTTTTTTTCACCACAATGGATGACGTAGTGCGGGCACTGATACAAGCTACGGCGGCGCAGCAGGAGGCTACCCGTGTCCAGGCAGCCGCCCAATAGGAGGCAGTGCGGCTGCAGCAAGAGACTAATCGCCTGCTGATGACCGAGCTATGTTGCGGGAACTAGTAAACCAGGTAAAGTCCCTTACAGAGCTGAATCGCGGCCATGATGGAACGCGGCTCATACGGGCCAGCCATTGGCTGCAGAAAATGTCACGGGAGAATGATGTAGAGGCATACCTTCTGGCCTTTGAGAGGACAGCCCTACAGGAGGCCTGGCCTCGAAATCAGTGGTCTGGCATCCTTGCCCCATTCCTGTGTGGGGAGGCCCAGAAAGCCTACCATGATCT